GCTCCCGTGCACTAGAGACTTATCCCCGGACTCTGGACACTTCCCTGCAGACCAGCCTTCACCACCTCCTTCAGCCTCTTTCATTCCACCCTGGTAATTACCGTGCTCTCATTCTCATCCCTGTACCCGCTTGACCATCACCGATTTTCTTCTTCCTGCCCTCTTTGCCTTCATTCGCCCCCCCCAAAGAAAAAACATTTTGTCTGTTTATTCATGGCATTTCCTCTTCCTATGTGTGCCTCCCTTTCTTGCTGATGTTTCTTTTTTTCTTTATTTCCCCTTACTACTTTTATTTCCCCTAAATTTCTGGGTTTCTGTTTTAATATTTTTCAAGAAAAGAAGAAATTTTCCCCTTAAACAACAAACAAACTATTGAACCTCCACCATGAGAGCAGGGTTTGATAAGATTAGGGAAGAGACTGGCCAAAAGTATTGTAGAGCCATGGTGCAGGGGAGATTCCTTTTTCTGATGAGAATAACAGTGCCCCTCATATAATGCTAGATCTATTCACAGTTTCTAACTATGAATATTTTAAAACTTTGGACAGTCTCAAATTTTTTTTTGCTGAGGACTCTGAGTCACCTGCTTTTTCCCTAACCCTAGCTCACATGATATGCGTGAGTTAAACTGAGATGTTCCCTTATAGAAGCTTCCTCTTACAGAACCAGTGTCAAAAATCATTTAGATAAAGGAAAGAGAAAAGAAAGAATTGCGGATTTCTAGTGGTTCTGAGGAAACAGGACTCATAGGTGCTAAGTTAATCAATAGCTTACTAGTTATTGAAAGGTAATTTCTTTCTCTTGGTTTAGTACAGCAGAGGGTTTAATCACTTAGCTGTGTTCCAAAGAATAGGATAAAGGATAATTGCTCATTATTTTCAAACTCTAGAGGATTGAGAGGTATGGAGTATTGTAATAATGCCAGATAGGGTGATAGTACATGGTTTTGGATTAACAAAAATGTACTCTTTTCTCCTGGCAACAATATTTGCTTTACAGGAGAGGAAAATGAAACCTAGCAACTGTTTAAGCAACTTAGCTAGAGGTATAAACTGAACAATAGTTTTGAATGTGAATTGACACTCCCTCATCCCCAAGGAAATGCAAGGAAGAATTTGATCCCTTGAAATCACCTAAATTATGAATTTAATGTTTTATTTTATAATTGGTTACTCACAAAGTTGAGCACTTTGTGCTCATGATTAAAATCTGCATTTAACTCTTAGTTAATCATTGAAAAGTAAAGGCAGAACTGGCTTGATTGTTATTAGATGCTGTTTCAGGGCACTGATAATTCTCAACCTGTGCAGTTCCAGATAACTGAAAGTAACGTGAGCGTGAATGAATTCAAGTGACTTAAACATGGAAGACAGAAGACCTCATCTGGAGGCCAGGCCCAGGAATCCCCATACCAACCACAGAGGTAAGCAAAGTTTCCTACCTAGTGAGAAGGAAATACTGAGCAATCAGAAGGAACCTGGGTTGCCTATCAATGAGCCCACCTGAGATTGCCTGCATCTTTCAAGTAAAGAATGACTTATTCCTTAACTATAGCATGAATGACTATGAAAAACAGATAAGTTTCTCCTTTCCTTAAGAGAGATGATAGATGGGTGTAGTTCAATTTGCAAATACAGTGATGGGATGTCAGAAATGGAAATAACTCTTGGTTTGGCACAATGCTATTAATAGAAACATAATTTTTTAATTTTCTAGTAGCATAATTGAAAAAAGCAAAAGGAAGCAGATTAAATTTACTTTTAAAATTCAATACTGATTTCTTTCATATGTGAAGTGTTATGAATAAGCATAAAACATTTCAATTATAATTATATCTCCTTTCCCTGTAAAATTGTGTTTCAGAATTGAGCATATTCATTAGAACAAAGTAAGGTGATAAACATACATCTTAGATCTACATTTATTTTATTTATTTTTAAAAATTTTGTTTAGATATTGATGGATCTTTATTTTATTTGGTTATTTATATGCAGTGCTGAGAATCAAACCCAGTGCCTCACACATGCTAGGAAAGCACTCTAACACTGAGGTACAACCCCAGCCCCTAAATTTATTTTAATTTGGAGATTCCGATGGAACATTCAACTAATGAATTCCAATTTTAAAATGTTTCTGTTAGTAGCCAGTGTAAAAGTTAATAAATAAAAACTTTTTAAAAGCATTTCTTGAAAATTGTTTTAAAAATTAACTTCACATTCAAATTCTAATACCCATATCAGAAAAGTACAATAGTTGCTTTATATCAAATAGCACATTGAGTTGGACTATATGAAAATTCCAGCAGGTTTTAATATTCTACAATTATCTCTTTGAGGAGGATTTTTTTTTTTTTAAGCTATCCATGGGCACAATATCTTTATTTTGTTTATTTTTATGTGGTGCTGAGGATTGAACCCAGTGCCTCACATATGCAAGGCAAGCACTCTGTCACTGAGCCAATACCCCATCCCAAGAAATTTTAAAACAGGGATTAGAAATCAAATCTAATTAGCAACAAAATCAAGAAGACCTTTGTTAAGATAACAAATACAATGAATTTCTAGCATATACTATTTGCTTGCCTGTCTGCATCCATATAAAATAGTTTACTCAATTTTTTTCTTACAAAAAATATTTTTTTAATATTTTGGGTTTTTGGGGGGTTTTTTACTTGTAATTGGACACAATACCTTTATTTTATTTTTATGTGGTGCTGAGGCTCAAACCCAGCACACCACACATGCCAGGCAAGCACCGTACTGTTGAGCCACAACCCCAGCCCCTTCCTCACAAAATGTAAGAGTAGAATTTTTTTTTTTTTTAAGAGAGAGTGAGAGAGGAAAGAGAGAGAGAGAATTTTTTTAATATTTATTTTTTAGTTCTCGGCAGACACAACATCTTTGTTGGTATGTGGTGCTGAGGATGGAACCCGGGCCGCACGCATGCCAGGCGAGCGCGCTACCGCTTGAGCCACATCCCCAGCCCCAGAAATTTTTTTATTTTATTTAAAAGTTGTGAGTAATTAATAAGAAATTCTTCATATGTGGTTTATTTCCAGAGTAGATATGCTTTATTCAAAAAACTTTAATGGTATTTAATAAAAATTTAATGATCTTTCTTACTTATTGTATCCAAATACTGTCATTTAAAAAAATTTTTTTTTATTTGTAGTCAGACACAATACCTTTTTATTTTATTTATTTTTATGTGGTGCTGAGGATCAAACCCAGAGCCTCACATATGCTAGGCAAGCGCTCTACTGCTGAGCCACAACCCCAGCCCCAAATATTGTCATTTTAAAATTGAATGTACTTCATTATCATAATACTTTAAAAACTTTAATAATATTTTAATCTCGTCAAATACTTAAATATTAGCCAAATTTTACTATTTTTTTTTTTTTTTGTACCAGGGATTGAATTCAGGGGTACTCGACCACTGAGCCACATCCCTAGTCCTATTTTGTATTTTATTTAGAAACAAGGTCTCACTGAGTTGCTTAGCGCCTCATCATTGCTGAGGCTGGCTTTGAACCCTCAATTCTGTCTCATCTCCAAGCTTCTGGGATTACAGGTGTGCACCACTGCACCCAGCGCATTTCACTTTCTTATAGCCATGTGGGGCTAGTGGCTAGTATAGGTTTAGAGTCCTAGTCCTCAAACCAAAGTTAATTCTAAGAGCATCACTGTACTGAAGAAATTATTGTTTGCTTAGAACTTTCTAACAAACAACTAATAGATTATTGCTTTTTTTTTTTTTTTAGTTTGTAAGATGTCATTCAAATTTTTGTTGTGGAACAAATGAGGAATTACTGTGGAATTTTATTTTATGAACTGTGTGTTAAAAGAATGAGAAATGATACATTTTTCATTCTTTCAGATAACAGTCTTCTAATCAGACCTAAATACTAAAAGCAGGAATTTCTTATATTGTAGGAGTTGGAAAAGTAAATATGAAAATAACTATAAAAATTTAGAGTTCAGATGTATAGCATTCATATTTGCCAAGTACTCTTTTATGTTGTCACATGAAAATTTTCTCTACAAAGTTCAAAATAAAAGGAAAAAAAAAGAAGTATATAAGTGTATTTAGTATCTGGTCTCATGAAATAATATGCTTATCTTAAATATTTTGTGTACTTTCAGTTTTCATAACATTTTTTAAAATATTATTTTTAATTATAGATGGACACAATCCCTTTATTTATTTGTTTTTATTTTTTTGTGCTGTCGGGGATTGAACCCAGTGCCTCACGCATGCTAGGCAAGTGCTCCACCACTGAGCCACAACCCTAGCCTCTTATAACATTTTTTTATCCAATCATTGTATACAGTCTTATTCTTAATTAATTAGTAAATTTTTTTTTCCAAGGATTGAACCCAGAGTTGTTTTACCACTGAGCCACATCCTCAGCCCTTTTTATTTTTTATTTTTAGATAGGATCTTGCTAAATTGCTAAGTTGCTGAGGCTGGCTTTGAACTTGTGATTCTCCTGCCTCTGCTTCCTAAGTCACTGAAATTACAGGGATGCACCACCATGCCCAATTTATAGTCTTATTTGTTTTTAAAATCACAGTGTCATTCTGATAAGTTGAGTTAGCTCCATTATCAGTTCTAGAGGAACAGAAAGTGAAAAAAACTGGACTTTGGGTATGTTGAGTAAGGTCACTTATGAAATGTCTGGTAGAAGAAGGAAAACAAGTTTGGTGTCATCCACAAAGTAGCATTCATGTTCCTGTGTGTACTGAGTGTGACCTCATTATCCCTCCTCTAGCTCAGCTTTCTGTGTGAGTGTTGGTGGTAATCAATAAGAACTGTGTTTATGAACTTCTTCTTAGAAAGGAGGAAAACTTCAGTTTCAGTTTCCTGGAACAAAACTTGATATCCATGTTTCAGTTTCCTTCACAATCTATTAGCTGTAAAAACATCTTGGTAAAGGAAGTCCTCCCTTCCTCTTTCCTGTTCAAACTGCTTTGGCTGATGCTGGGCAAAGTTCAGATAGTGTTTTCCTTCATAGTTTTATTCCATTTGATGTCTGTTGTTTATGATAATTGGTTAACAGAACCAGTAACCACAGAAATCAAGAGTATTCCCAGTGAAAAATAGTTATTACTGACAATAACTAATATTTACTAAGAGCTTCTCATGTGTCAGGTAATATTCTAAGTATTTTATAAACTTAAAAAAAAGTTGTAGTAGTGTATGGACAGCAAACCTTCATTTTATTTATATTTATGCAATGCTAAGGATTGAACCCAGTGCCTCACACATGCTAGGCAAGTGCTGTACCACTGAGCTACAGCCCCAGCCCTATAAGCTTTTTGGGGGCATGGGGGTATCAGGGATTGAACTTGGGGGCTCTCAACCACTGAGCCACATCCCCAGTCCTATTTTGTACTTTATTTAGAGACAGGGTCTCATTGAGTTGCTTAGGGCCTTGATAAGTTACTGAGGCTGGCTTTGAACTTGCGATCCTCCTGCCTCAGCCTCCCAAGCTGCTGGGATTACAGGCATGTGCCACTGCTCCCAGCTTGCCCTATAAACTTTTAACTACGACAATCTAGACATCGAGACCTAGAGAAATTGTACAACTTGGTCATGGTTACACAGTGAAGGACGTGGCCAAGCCAAGATCTATTCAGCCCTGAAATTTATGTTCTGGCCGTTACTTGATAGTAGCAAAAGACTAGAACCAATATATTAGGCATTTAACAAATTTTATTATTTTCCCTTTTTTTGCGTCCTTTGGAAAAATAATATTTTTATAATGTGTATGACACTCATAATAAACTTTCTTTTCTTTTCTTTTCTTTTTTTTTCTTTTGGTGTTGTGAATCAAACCCAGGGCGTTGTAAATTAGACAAGCACTCCACCACTAAGCGGCACCTCCAGCCCTATTTTTCATTTATTATACAACTTGGTAGGAAATTTTTGTCTCTACAAAACCTGAGCTCCTTGGTTATTTGGAAAATGAAAGCATATTTATTGTTGTCTCATTCAGTTTCTTTGCCCCTTGATTCTGTGCTTACCCAATATTCCCATTGTGTTTAGGGCCTATGGATGGAGAATTGCCACCAAGAGCTAGAAATCAGGCCAATAACCCACCAGCCAATGCTCTCAGAGGAGGAACCAACCATCCTGGAAGGCATCCTAGGGCCAACAGTCATCCTGTTCCTTACCGGCAAAGGGAGGAGAGATTTAGGGCCATGGGGAAGAATCCACATCAAGGAAGGAGGAACCAGGAAGGGCATACCAGTGATGAAGCTAGAGGCCAAAGACATGGTCCAGAGAATGATACCAGGCAGAGAAATGACAACCAAGAGGGTAGGAATCGCAGACCACCATGGTCCAATGAAAATTTCCAGCAGTGGCGGACCCCCCACCAGAAGCCTACAGAACAGCCACAGCAGGTTAAGAAACTGGGCTATAAGTTCCTAGAAAGTCTTCTGCAAAAAGACCCCTCTGAGGTGGTCATCACACTTGCCACAAGTTTAGGGCTGAAAGAGCTCCTATCTCATTCTTCCATGAAATCCAACTTCCTTGAGCTCATCTGCCAGGTTCTTCGGAAGGCTTGCAGCTCCAAAATGGACCGCCAGAGTATTCTTCATGTACTAGGCATATTGAAGAACTCCAAATTCCTCAAAGTTTGCCTGCCTGCTTATGTGGTAGGGATGAGTACCGAACCCAATCCTGACATTCGAAACCAGTATCCGGAACACATAAGCAATATCACCTCCCTCCTTCAGGATCTTGTAAGCGTCTTCCCTGCCAGCTCTGTGCAGGAAACTTCCATGCTCATTTCTCTCCTGCCAGCTTCTCTTAATGCTTTGAGAGCTTCTGGTGTTGACATAGAAGAGGAGACAGAAAAAAACCTGGAAAAGGTGCAGACCATCATTGAACATCTGCAGGAAAAGAGGCGAGAAGGCACTTTGAGAATGGATACCTATACTCTGGTGCAGCCTGAGGCAGAAGGCCATGTGGAGAGCTACCGGACCATGCCCATCTACCCGACCTACAATGAAGTGCACTTAGATGAGAGGCCCTTCCTTCGTCCCAACATCATTTCTGGAAAATATGAGAGCACTGCTGTCTATCTGGATACCCACTTCCGACTCCTGAGAGAAGATTTTGTCAGACCCCTGAGGGAAGGCATTTTGGAACTTCTCCAAAGCTTTGAAGATCAGTGTTTGAGGAAGAGAAAGTTTGATGACATCCGGATCTACTTTGATACGAGGATCATCACTCCTGTGTGTTCATCATCAGGCATTGTCTATAAGGTTCAGTTTGATACAAAACCACTGAAGTTTGTTCGCTGGCAGAACTCTAAGCGATTGCTGTATGGGTCTTTGGTATGCATGTCCAAGGACAACTTTGAGACATTTCTTTTTGCCACTGTTTCTAATCGGGAGCATGAAGATCTCTGCAGAGGAATTGTCCAACTCTGTTTCAATGAGCAGAGCCAACAGCTGCTAGCAGAGGTTCAGCCCTCTGACTCTTTCCTCATGGTGGAGACAACAGCATACTTTGAGGCTTATAGGCATGTCCTGGAAGGACTCCAGGAGGTCCAGGAAGAAGACGTCCCCTTCCAGAGGAATATTGTGGAATGTGACTCTCATGTGAAGGAGCCCAGGTACTTGATAATGGGGGGCAGATATGATTTCACCCCCTTAATAGAGAATCCTTCAGCCACTGGAGAATCTCTGAGGACTGTTGAGGGTTTGAGACGTCCTAGAGTTAATGTCTTAGACCCTAGTCAGTGGCCCTCAAAAGAAGCCCTGAAGCTGGATGACTCTCAGATGGAAGCCTTGCAGTTTGCTCTCACAAGGGAGTTGGCAATTATTCAAGGACCTCCTGGAACAGGTAAGACAAATTTTTTCAGAGCATTTGACATATACCCTATAACATAGGGAGGCTTTGCTCTGGGTTTCTAGAATGTCTCGCTTAGAAACACTGCCCTGAAATGGCATACATTTTGTTTATAAAGTAGCCACTCAGTGATTTTCCAGTGGGGACCATGGGCATGCATAGTAACAAACTCAAATCACAAGATTAGAAAGACTGCTAGAGGTCAAATTCAGGGAGATACTTTACTCTGCTTCATTGAAAAACTATTAATTTGTTTTAATTTTACATTATTTATTTTTGTGGTGCTAGGGGTTGAACCTAGGACCTCATGTGTACAAGGCAAGTGCTGTATCACTGAGCTACATCACCGGCCCTTTTATGTTATTTTAAATTAAATAGTACCAAATATGTAATAATCACAGTATATGCCAAACTGTTTTACATGCCTTACATATGCTAACTCGCTTCATCTTCATAATGGTCCTATGAGTTAGAAACCATTACTAAAACCATTTTACAGATGAAGAAACTAAGGCAAAGAATGGTTAAATTACCCCTTATTTAAGAAATGTGAAGTGTGAAGCTCACACAGGTGGTAACAGACCTAGCACTTGAACTCAGATAGTCTGGCTGTAGAGTCCTGGCTCATATCTACCCCACTGTGCTTCTCATAGAAGTATTCCTCTCTACCGCCACCTTCCCACCTGCAAGTCTCTTATCTAAAAGTCTGTAAGATCTAGGAGGATACACCAACCATGTTTATTTTGCTCACTATTGTATCTGTTGTATCCACTCAGTGTCTGACACTTGATTGACATAAATAAACATTATTTAAAGAAAAAAAGGGAGAAATTATTAATTATTATACTGTATTGAAATCTTTGATTTTCCAATATTGCTCCCTCACTCAACTCTGAGTTATTGAGGACAGTAGCAAACTTAGCTTGAAACAATGCAAAAATTTAGCAGTTTGTAAATTTAATTAATGAGTCCATAGCTCTAAGTCTTATGTTGATTTTCATAAGTTTTGTCTCTCATCACAAAGGCAAATTTACCATACTGTATGAAAACCACTTCTAAAGAATTTGCTCTATGAGATCTGAAACAATATATGTGTCCATCAGTAGAAAACTAATTAGCTAAAAATTATCTTAGTCATGAAGAGAGAGTATTCTTTGTTTATTGATAGAGAACTACTTCTAAGATATATAAAGTGAAAAAAAACAAGATGTGGAACAGTAAAAATAATCTTTTATCTTTTTTAATATTTATTCTTAAGTTTTAGGTGGACAGAATGTCTTTATTTTACATTTATATGGTGCTGAGGATCAAACCCAGTGCCTCGTGCATGCTAGGCGAGCACTCTACCACTGAGCCACAACCCCAGCCCTACTTTTATCTTTTAAAAAAAAAAAAAAAAGGCATAGGGTGGGGGGATGCAGAAGGCTAAGGGAAAAAAATACATATGCGGGGCTGGGGATGTGGCTCAAGTGGTAGCGCGCTCGCCTGGCATGCGTGCGGCCTGGGTTTAATCCTCAGCACCACATACAAACAAAGATATTGTGTCCACCAAAAACTAAAAAATAAATATTAAAAAAATTCTAAAAAAAAAAGTATATATATATATATATATATATATGTATGTATGTATTTGTGTATACATAGAAAGACTATCTCTGAAAAGTTACACAAGAAATTGGTAACATTGGTTGCTTCTAATGAGATAAACTCTGGCATAAGAGACTTTTCACAATATACTTACTATGCTGTTTAGATTTTTAATCATCTCGATGTATTACCTCAAAATTTGAGAAGAAAGATAAAAGCCAGGCATGGTGGAATACAGTTGTAGTCTCAGCTACTGGGAAGGGTAAGGCAGGAGTTGAAGGCTAGCCTGGCAACATAGAGACCCTGTCTAAAAAATAAAAACAAATTGCTCTAAGTAATTAATTGTTCCTTTTCCTAGAATTTTTAGCTTCTTTTTTTTTTTTTATTTTCTAGGCAAAACCTATGTGGGTCTAAAAATTGTTCAAGCCCTTCTGACCAATGAGTCCGTTTGGCAAATTAGTCGCCAGAAGTTCCCCATCTTGGTTGTATGTTATACTAATCATGCTTTGGACCAGTTTCTGGAAGGTAATGTCTATGGGCAAAAGTGTTCTTTATCAAAACATTTATGGTGAACCACTGCAATAACTTTATATTGCACTTTGAATACAAAGGCCACAGTCTTGACCATGACCTGCAAGGCCACATGTCCTAGCCTGACTCTGAACCTGATCTTTGTTCTCTTCCTTCATTCTTCCTAACTCCATTAGCACTGATTGTCTTCAATTCCTTGAACTTTATTTATTTATTCATTTACTATTTTATTTATTGTTGTGCTGGGGATTGAACTCAGGCCCTTGCACACACTAGGCAAGCACTCTACCACTGAGCTACTTCCCCAGCCCTCCCGGAGTTCTTGTAGTTTTTCAGTTGGCTCATGCTGTTCTTCTTTCCCTCTCTCTCTCTCCAACTTGAACTCTGTTGGCCTGTCTGGCTCTAATTTATTCTTCAGGTCTTACCTTAAATCTCTCAGGTGGATTTTCTCCATTGCCCCCAAACAAAGTTAAAGTCTCCTTTTGTACTTTTTCTTTTAATCTCTTTCATGTTTCTCCACACTAGATCATAAATACTGAGGACTGGTCAGGTTAATTACTGTATTCACTGATCCTGGCATATATCAGACACTCAAAAAATACTGATTGTTGTGTGGGGGTGTAGCTCAGTGGTGGCTTACATATGCAAGACCCTGGGTTCAGTTTCCAGCACTGCAGACAATAACAAAAAATTAACAGCATTAATGAATAAGTATTTTTATTTTTGCTTATTTTCTAAATAAATGTTTTTATTTTTGCTTATTTTCTATTCCTCTGTAACCTCTTTTCACCTACATCTTCTTTATTCTTAAAGTTTCAGTTTAAATAGTAGATCCTCAAAAATAGATCTCTACCCGGCCCAGATCAGGTGAGGTCCTCTACTATCCACTTGTAGCATCATGTACTTATAGGACTCATACTTAGGGCTATTAAAATAGATTGTTATTAAAATAGATTGTTTACTGCGTATCTTCTTTGCTAGAACTTGAAACAGAAGAACAAGTAAAAACTGAGTTTGTGTTTTGACTGCTGTATCTTCAAAACCTGGCACTTGCCTGGGACATGTACACAGTAATCAAATCTGCAAAATAGATAACATTTACTGAGTGCTTGCTTTGTGCCAGGCCCTAGCTAAATGCCATAAAGTTATTATTTTTTTAATCCAGATTATAGCTATATAAAAAAGTTGTTACTATCTCCAAATCACAATGAAACTTAGACACAAATTACATAATTTACTCAGGTTACATAACAATAAATGTTAGAGACAAGATTTGTGTCCCAATTGTTTGATTCCAGAGCCTGTGGTCTTAAGCACTACACTTTATAAGCTTATATCCTCTTAAGACCCTCTGGCTCATTAATTGGGTAAATTTCCTGTAAGCACAGTTTGTTCTCTAAGGGACCAGATGAGACAAGATCCCAAATGCACATAACTCTCATCTGAGTTAGTCCAGCCTAGGCCTTTTCAACCCTGCAATGTTCTTTGCTCCGCAGGCATCTATAAGTGTCAAAAGACCAGCATTGTGCGGGTGGGTGGAAGGAGCAACAGTGAAATCCTGAAGCAGTTCACCCTGAGGGAACTGAGGAACAAGCGGGAGTTCCGCCGTAACCTCCCCATGCACCTCCGAAGAGCCTACATGAGTGTGAGTTCCAGCTGTGGCATATCTGAGGTAGCTCAAGGAACCTACACAAGACAGCAGTAGCATTCCGAGCAGGCTCCCCAGGGTAGATATGGAGGCTCCTCAGAGCTCTGGAGGACCCAGGTTCTTTCCCACATTTCATTCTGCGAATCCCTTGATGTGATCCCTGCACTCAATCCAAAGTAGAGTAAGGATGAAGGGCACACTACCCCTCCCTGCCCCTACCAGGACCTTCAGGCTACTTTCCCAAAGCCACCATAGCACTTCTGCATGTAGCCACTGGGCAGGGAAATGTCATCTTTAAGCTGGGCAGCATTGTGCCTGATCAAAATCTGAGCTTGGCTTAGTCTTGTGCATCTATGTTTGTACTTACTCAGGAGGCTGAGGTAGGAGAATTTATTGATCCCAGGATTTTGGGACCAGACTGGGCAACCTAGTGAGACTCCCTCTTTAAAAATTAAAAAAAAAAAAAAAATGAGTTTTTTTGTTTTGTTTTGTTTTGTTTGTTTTTGGTTACTGCGGATTGAACTCAGAGGTGATGTACCACTGCACTAACTCACCAACCCTTTTTACTCTTTATTTTAAGACAGGGTCTCACTAAGTTGCTTAGGGCCTTGCTAACTTGCTGAGACTGGCTTAAACTTGGAATTGCCTACCTCAGCCTCCTAAGTCACTGGGGTTATAGGTATATGCCTTTGTGCCCTGCTCTGAGTTCTTATTTATTTATTAATATTTATTTTTTGGTTATAGGTGAATACAATATCTTTATTTAATTTTTATGTGGTGCTGAGGATCGAACCCAGTGCCTCACACATGGTAGACGAGCGCTCTACCTCTGATCTACAACCCCAGCCCCATGAGTTTTTATTTTTAAGGAAAAGAGAGAACAAATACTGCAAGACTTGTAGTCTATGCCACAATATCCTTGGCCTGTTTTTATTTCATGTGTTTCCTCTTCTTACTAACTGGAGGGCATCTTTTAGATCTTTTGGTTACTAATCCTTTGGTTTCAAGATCACAGTAATGTAATGTGCCTTGAGAAACTGGGTTTGTTGATTATTGACTGATCATTTATTCTTTTTTCTTACTTTTCTTTTTTTGCTTTGTTTTCTCTTAGGGTAGGGACTGAATTTGAGGGAGAGTAATATGTCTTCATTACATCTTTCCTGTCTTCTTGGCAGATCATGACAGAGATGAAGGAATCAGAGCAAGAGCTCCATGAAGGTGCCCAGACCCTAGAGTGCACAATGCGTGGTGTCCTTCGGGAACAGTACCTGGAGAAGTACATCTCCCCCCGGCACTGGGAAAGCCTAATGAGTGGACCGATGCAGGTAGGACTCATCCCAGGTCACACACATGGCTGCATCAGCACTCAGAGGTGGCCTCCAGTAGAAGTAGCAGTACAAAGCTTTAGCTATAGCATGATCTGATGCTGCCATAAGGCAAAATGTTCCCTTTCACGATGAGAAGCAGTTGGACATGCTGGTCAGGAAGAAGACTCAGGAACCAACCTCTAGGTTTGAATCTTGGCTTTGCTTTGGGCAGATTACTTTTTCTGTGTTTATTTATCCTGTTAGAAAACTGGGAGGACAGTAGCATTAAAGTGAACCATATGAAATTGCTAGTACTTATAACTTCGTCTTGAGGATTATCATTTGGATCATTAAGTTAATATTTGTAAACTCTGAACTTAATAAAGGTCTGGCATGGTGGTGTATGCCCATAATCTCGGTGAGTTGGGAGTCTGGAGCAGGAAGGTCACAAATTTGAGGCCAGCCTCAGCAACTTAGTAAGACCCTGTCTCAAAATTTAAAAAAATAATCAGAAAAAAAATGTCTGGGGACACAGATCAAAAGTAAAGTTCCCCTGGGTTAAAACCCTGAAATGGAAATTAAACCATAACCAGAAGTAACCTAGCACATCCAGAGTTTTGGCTCATACAGACTAACTATTTGACTTGGGCCAGTATGATCCTCACCAGTTAAACAGGGAAATAATAGTGCTACCTTCAAAAGATACCATAAGATGTAACTGAGACCAAATTTATAGAGTGACTAGCCAGGAACCCAGTGAAATGGGACCTCTGTTATCACTGGGTTGATGATTTCCAGTGCTTGACAAACTCCCTAAAAAAGGGAATCAATCAAATTCAGTAAATAAGTCAAATAGTTTAGTATGAAATGTTAGGAAGGAGCAGGCTGTGGCAAACAGGGGAGAGAGTGGCACCAACCAGCTCCAGCCATTTGTTGCCATTTAATAATAAAGGTTTATTGTTGGTGTAGATCCTGATTTTTGTCAAAAGATAGAAATTTTGATTTTTTAAGTTCTGTATAAGTCATATTAAATGTTCCAGTTGCCCAAGGAATGCCAGTTTTCAACTTTTGAATTTTAAGAGAATTTTGTTTATATGTTTACTTGTTTTTTGTTTGTTTGTTTTTGAGAACTTGATATGGAACTAGGACCTTGCACATGTTAGGCAAGTGTTCTACAACTGAATTACATCCCCAGCCCCTAAGGGAGTTATTTTTGATCATTTGAGGAAACCCTGCCTTCATACTGGTTGTCATGGAGTTCTCATCATTGATAATTCTTCCTTTCTTAGGACAGCGAGTGGATCTGCTTCCAGCAGTGGAAGCACTCCATGATGCTTGAATGGCTGGGTCTAGGTGTTGGTTCTTTCACTCAAAATGTTGCCTCA